TTTTATACTCGCACTTTCTCTTTTTCAATATATTTTGTACAAAATATAGTTTCAATCAACTTATTCTATTTGGTTTTTTTTAATAGATGATATTAAAGGAGAATCACATTATAATATCCTAAGTTTTAGGAACATTAATGATAAAATTAAGTGTTATTATTTTATAATTTTAATTTTTATTAAGTTTTTTCATATAGAGAATATTTGATTGATTTATAAATAACAAAATTGGATTATCAAAAAACCGTGGCTAATAAAAAATAACAATTCAGCTATGAGAAACTTAAAAAAAGAGAGAAAAATAGAAAAACTTATTGAATCACAAAAAAAAAAAGATGTCTTAATAAATTTATGTAATAAAAAAATAACAAAAGATTTAAGTGAAAGTTTTGAAATAAAAAACTAATAGATCTTAAATAATTAGAGGATATTGAAATTGTATGGTGAAAAAATAATAAATAAAATTTTTATGATGATCGTCGAAAATGTAATATAATAATTATTGATCATGAAGAAGATATAAAAAGATTATTAGTAATTTTGAATTATAAAAAATAAAATTAATAAAAAATTATATTAATAATAAAAAGAAAAGAAAAACTGACTAGAATCCTCTCTTTAGGCCCCAAAACAGCTTGAGGCCCCTGAGCATATCAAGTTCATTTGAATTCATAATTGAAAGTACAGACGACTTGTAACATATAATATCCTAAGAAATGCAAATACCAAGAAACTAACAAATATAATATTCACGGACATTGATGGGCCTGACCAGACAAGGTCCAGTGGGCCTAGCCTAGAAGTGACCTAAACCTAGCTAGGCTCTCCAAGAACCCAATCAACCACGCCATCATAAGGCCACGCCATCCTAGAACCATGTCATCCTGAAATAAGGAAAATAGTCACGCCATCCTGAGACTTGGTCTTGAGGAGATCTCCACGTCCTCTCTGCAATTACCTTATCTGTTGCAAGGATGGTGCCAACTCCACAAAATCAGCATTTTTGTTACTGATAAGGTGCCTCAATCTATTAGGAGTCGCCTATAAATTGTAAGTTCTGCCTACACATGGGAGACATCTCTCACATCTTGTATCTAACATCCTATCTCACACCTGATTCATCTGAGCCCTCATTGCTCTTACCTGAACTCTCCACACTCCTAAAGCAATAAAACACCCCGGCAACCAAAGCTCTTCAAAGTGGAGCAAGTTACCCTGACCGAACCACTCTATATTCGTGTGTTGTTTGTGTTGATCTTATCTTTATACTTGCTACATTTTATTATCTATATTAATTACTTGACAAGTGGTGCATAAAACTGATTTGTGCATCATTAGTTTGACACCGTCTGTGGGAACGACAAAGTTTTCACCCAACCATTCTTTTGTATCTATGACAATCACCACCAAATCCATGAATCAGCTTTAGGACGGTCCACCACGTTGCGAGGAAGTCCTGCCTCTACTAGGAAACCTTGTCGTCATGGCAAACCCCATAGCCAGACAGCAACTATCGAAGACAATGCAGTTTTAGATGAACCAAAACCAGTAGATCCTCTAGTTGATGCTCGTCAGACACCCTCAAGGAGTTGTGCCCCAGCCCCAAGAGGAGAAACACCCTAGGAAATTTGCCCAGGGCGCCAAGGCTCCCTTCAGCAAGGCACCCAACACTAGGGCACCCTCTTGTAAGGCTAGCACCAGGGCATTCCTCCTTAGCGTCCAAGTGTCCTAGCTCCTCCTCCTTATGTACCGGTTCCATCCTCTTGTGCTAGTGACCCTCCAATGCAAGAAGGCGAAGGGAAAAACCAGTACATAGACCATGAAAGCCATTTGAACGGTCCTTCACAAGGCGTCCCCAACCAATGAGATGAAAAATCAAAGAGGTGCAAAATCAACTAGGCGACATGTTCAACACCCTTAAAGCGCGAGGACATAGAAATGATTGAGTACCTAGTGATGCATACTAATATACCCTTCGTGATTGATGTAGCCAACTACTCTCTTCCCCTAAAGTTCAAGATGACAACCGTGTAGGCTTTTGATGGCTCCAAAGGCCTATTGGATCACCTTGACATCTACAAATCCTTAACACAGATGTACAACATACCAGATGAGATCAAAATCAGGGCTTTCCCTACCACTCTCAAGAGATATGCTCGCCAGTGGTTTGCCAAACTTACCCTGGCCTTCATAGGCACTTTTGTTGAACTGAGCAGGTGATTAGTACTTGAAAGTAGCATATTGTTATGCCTTTTTAGGACTAATTTTACTTTGATGGAGTTTAAATGATGACATTTCAAGTTCTAAAGTGAACAAGCCCTCAAGGTCAACAAAAATCACACCAGCTCATCAGAGAATGAAATTGGAGAGGCTTGGAACAAAGCAAGAACGTTCGAATGCCAACTCATGTTCGAACGTCCACTTGAACTATGAGAAGACCAGAATGCTGAGACATGACATGTTGCAGTCAAGAATGAAGACCCTAGAGTACTTGAGTACCACGTTCAAACGTCATCCAATGTTTGAACGTCCACTTGAATCGATTGAAGACCAGAGTGATGAGTGCAAAACGCCAAGACGAGCATGGAGTGTGGAAATAGGATTCCACAGAAGACCACAGGCCACTTGAGTGAGAAGGTCAGACTCCATCTGGCATTCGAACGCTCATAAAGCAAAGACAAAAAGAAACATTCAAACTCCCATAAAGCAAAAATAGAGATAACGTTCGAACGCCAGATCATGTTCAAATGTTCTCTGTAAACTGGCTACAGAGTGGTTGACTTTTCACTTTGACTTGGGCGGCATACACCATTCCTTCACCTCTCTTGTCCCCTCCTCCTTTCCTATAAATACTCCTATTTTTTGGAAATAAGGGGTGCTTGGTAGAGAGCTTGATGGAGGCTCAGATTCCCACTCATATAGCTAGTTTTACTTATATTTGCTTGTTGTATCAAGGCAGTTAGTTCATTTTTTGGTTGAGGAAGCAACCTTCATTTCTTGGTTGAGGAAGCCACCCTCCAAATGTGACTAGCTTTCTTCTACTTTTATTGTTATGTCTTTCACTTCAATTGCTTGAGCTTCCTTCTTTCTTAGAAGAGTGAAACTCTTCTACTTTTCTAGAGATTTGTCAAAATCGTGAATGGTGGAACATGATTCACTTATTCTTCGCTGAAGATCGGTTCTTTGTTTAGTTTGCTTCACTTTGTAACTCCTCTACTTGGAGGGATGAGTATCACTCACTTTTCTAGCTTTACCAAAGTCATGAAGAGTGAGTAGTTCCCTATTCATTCTTTAGTAAGAAGTGATGAACATGTATTGATTATCCGGAAGTTATATTTGTGCATTTCCTTTATACTTTATATTTCAGTTGCTTATTGAATGATTGAATGCATCTAGCAAAGCAAAGGTATTTTGTATAACTATGAGTTCTTTCTATGTCATGGATGACTCTTGCATAGAAAGACTCGTTGGTTCAAGGCAAGTACCCCGGCTAGATCTTCATGACAACCTTTCAATCTTCACCATTATTGTACTTTAATAAAGAATGGAATATTAATGCCATGGTTGGATACCTTGTAGAAACACTTGCTTGTTTGTAGACGGGTTGAGTTTTGACACAGACAATTCTTGTAAACTTTTAGAAAGGCATTGGAACCATATGCTTAATTCTTACAGTCCATCTTTATCTTCTGATTAACTTGTTGTTGACATGAGAGTTAATTGAGTTATAAAGCACAAGTATAATAAATCGGATGATTAATTACATATTCTAATCCTCGAGCTAAAGAGTCGTTGTTACATTGTGATAATTTATCTTATATTTTGTCTAGAAAAATTCATTGGAAAAAATCTTATATTCTTTCTAGAAAATCTCATAACTCCAAACTCTCAAGGTTTCCAGTTACTGCTTACTTCAAAATACCAATCATAGTTTCTTGTGGATTCGACTCTGGACTTAACCGGATTATTACTACAGCTTGGCTGCCTGCACTTGGGTTTACACATTTCGGATCAAGTCAACAGGTCCTTCATCTCATATTTCAACAGACCACGATGACACCATATGACTATCACCCACTTGCTCAGCATTAAACATGATTGGGATGAAAGCCTGAGGAGTTACCTCACTCGTTTTAACGAGGAGGTCCTCCAGATTGAGGAACTCAATGACCAGGTCACCATGACCGCTTTCATGGGAGACCTACGCTCATCTAGCTTTCTTTTTTCAATGATGAAGCGCCCACCCAAAGAGCATGCCAGAATTGTGGGCAAAAGCTCAAAAATACATAAACGCCAAGGACGTCACCAAAGCCAGGCGAGGGGAGTCCTCATCATCATCACCAACCACCTAAGCCTGACTCCTCAAAAAGAAGCTACAAAGGCACAGACATTAACAGATTTTGTGGCTAAGTTCACACCACTTAAGGAGAGAGATTTTCGAGAAGACTCAGCGTCTGGCGCCAAGGGCCCGTGCTCCTGCCCAGACACCCAGTTCCTCAGCGCGCTCCTCATCTCCATCTATTGGAGTAAACCTTCGACTTGGTGTCCCTCCCATGGGCACATCCAGCTTAACGACTCTCTCATGGGTTGCCAAGAGCTCGGTTTCAAAAGGTGCAGCTCTCTTGAGCAACCCTCAAATTCTGCTTCTGCTCTCATGCGGGTAGCCTCAAAAGTTAGTCTACTCCAGCTTAGTGATTCTCTTACAAGTTGCTAAAAGCTCAGTCTGATGAGGTGCAACTCTCTAACGAGTAGTCATCAAACTTTATATTTTGCTCTCATGCAAGTAGTCTCTTTCTTTACAGCCTGATCTGTCGTCTTTCCTCTCAGGTAATCATGTGGGATATTTTGGTACCCAGCTCCTATGCCACTCTTGTACCTATACTTGCCCCATGTGCCAATGCCAACCACGGTGCCCCGTGCACCCACGACGTGTATAGGCTAGCTTCTGCACCCCTTGTCTGCGCCCATGCTCCAAGTACCCTTGCGGACTCGCGCCAGTCCTAGCACTCTGAGTTCGCTCGCAGACTGTGCCCGCTGTACCTGCATAGCCTGCTCCCGTTGGCCACCCTAACTTCCGCCACACTCAGTGCTCGCGTCCAGCGCCCCATGCCCACTCTACGGCCCATGCGCACTGCCACTGCCACGACGCCAATGCCTACTTCACTTGTGTCTGCTTCACTCCACCACCTCTGCCCTCCATCACTCTTTAGTTTAATCCTCTCAAGGAATGGAATGAAACAAGGGGAAATGATAAGAGACCTATTTTGAGAGTTACCTGGTTTGATTGGCATTCAAGTATCCTGTGTGGAGTAAGATTGACATTGAGGAGCTCTCATCCACTTTGACAGTTATCTAATTAGATTGACATACAAGTATCCTAATTAGAGTAGGATTGACCTTGA